TTGATGAAAACTTGTTTGACTAATGAGAGGCGGAACTGGTGGTCCGCCTCTCATGATGAATCGCCTCCGCCATTTTTGCGAGGACATCCTTCACAGGGGCATCGAGCGACAGACCGTGAAAATGGCGTAAAGGATCCGAAAACCCTGAGCCAATTGCGTTAAGGCAAGCGCCAACTTGCTGTTGATCCCGCGCCTGATGCTCATCTCATTTTAGAACGTTTAAGCGTTTTCCGAGTGCTGAAACAAGCTCTTGGTTAAGTTTGGGAGGACCTAGCTGCAAGAGCTCTCCCTAAAGCTGGTACTTGGACAGCAGAGCCGCGCGAGTGTCCTCCTTCAGACCGGAGTGAAGCTAAGACTCCATGCATGCGGTGAGCTGCGGCAAACGGTTGCGGTGACCAATCAGGAGACAGACGCATGCCGGAGCTTGCCGCAACCGGACTTGCGCCTCCCTCCTGATTGGTCACCGCAACCGTTTGCCGCAGTTCACCGCATGCATGGAGTCTTAGCTTAAACCTCACTGCAAGTAGAGGCGAGGATAACTGGATCCCATGAAGGTTCAGACGCAGCAGGAGGGGGGCCGAAGAGTTCATTCGCCAACGACGACGTATTCTCCTTCTCGAAGTTGTCTAGCTCCAAAGGGAGTGGAGAAAAAACCCGGCGAAGGAGGCAGTGGCTGGCGGAGGCTGGTCCGCTGAGAAAGAAGCATGGTCAGATAGAGCAATCGGATATGTGCCTTCGGATAATGAAGGCAACGCACCTGGTACGCCGCCCCGGTTCTCAAGAACCGGATGCTCATCTGCCTGCGAGTCCTCTAGAACGTTGATGAGAATATCGTCTAGCTCCAAAGGGAGTGGAGAAAACTCGGCGAAGGTGACAGTGACTAACTGAGGCTGGCCCGCTGAGAAAGAAGCATAGTCAGATAGAGCAATCGGATACGTGCCTTCGGATAGCGAAGGCAACGCACCTGGTACGCCGCCCCAGTTCTCAGGAACCGGATGCTCATCTGCCTGCGAATCCTCTGGAACGGCGATGAGAGCATCGTCCGCCAGGGTTGGGCCAGCCACCTGCACCGCGGCGACGGGAACAGACCGAACATCGTCGGCAGGCAGAGATGCGGAAGCCCGTTGGGCTTCCTGAAGGCCAAAATATCGTGCAAGATAGTGGCGAGATCCGCCCCCGACGAGAGGGAAGCATCGCGTGAGGAAGCTCGTGGCATAACCTCCAAATCGCGTTCGCGCGAGCGATTTTCGAGGTCTTGTTCGCGCGATCTATCGCGAGGATTACGCCGACGCTTCCGGGAACGATGACTCTTATGTTTAGGCATCTTGGAGCCCCACCAGGAACAAAGCAGATGAAGAATAAACACAGCACACAAAAACAACGAACTGTAGGTTGCGCGCAACAGAAACACAATGAGATGATCCTGCGCGAGCGCGCGGGAAAACGGTGGCGCGCGCGAGTGCACGGGAAAGCGGTGACGCGCGCGCCCCCTTTTTCCTTCTTGACAGGGATGTGAACTGTTGGGAAGTGCGTATACAGAAAACACTACTACAATATCCATCTGGACGAGACCACAGAGCATAATTCAAACTGTTCTGGCCACATCCGAGTATACCCGAAACATTCTTCATGATCACTGATACTTAGCTCGCGAAATAGGTTAAGGTTGAAACCCTGCTCAAGTCTACGCCTGTTCACGGGCCGTACCCACCATCTCCGACCAATAGCCCTCTTCGTCTGAATAATGCGCCATTGAATAGTTAAAAGTTGGTTCCATAATATCACAAATAAAAAAGTTCCAATTTTTTGCAAATCCATGTTCATAACCTATACACCAACTTACGTTATTACACCGCAATGTTTAGACATTTATCGTTTGTATATAGGCGGGCAATATTCCTCGACGCTGATTGGCTTATTGTAATACTTACTACATGGCATTTTAAGCGTCGTCTATAATGGCAGTAAGCAGTAAGAAGTACGCGTAAGCGGTAAGAAATAAACCAATCACAGTCGATTATGACAAAAATAATCAACTGTGGTTGATCCATTTCTTACTGTTCACGCTTTCTTCTTACTGCTTGCGGCCATTGTAGACCACGCTTTAAGCATCGTCTACAATGACTACGTTTACACGGCTTCTAACTTCGACTTACAAGGAGATGCCACGAACTGCTAATTCTACTTTTGAATGAGCTATAATGCATTCGAAAGGGGAGGTCGAGAGTACAAACCGTATCAGAGCTTTTGGGTGTATGGGCTTTAGTTTCGGAGAAAATTTATTGTAAAATGATGTATTTTTCAGCTGTACGGTAAGTACAATGGATAGCCATAATTTTGCACGAAGCGCGCTGGCTGTGCAGGTTAGGCGTGCGGCTACTGTTTTGTCCATGCGAGCAGAGTTCAATTCCCCGTAGTGACAATTTTTTTTTGTTTTTTTTAGAATAAATAATTGTTTATGAATTAATTGTAAATTTATTTATTTATTATTCGTTATAGTAAGAGAACGTATACATAATGAAAAATATCAATAAATTTTGTGTTTTTATTATACTGTGTCTTTATTCATTATAAAATTCCGACATCACTGTACAATGTTGCGGGTGATAATTTATATAAAAACATTCGAAGCATAAATGGATCGCACACCATGAACATTTTATAAACGAAAACTGCGTATTGCAGATACATTTTTTCTTATGTACATCCGGTGGAAAACACAATTGATTAACATTATAAAATATGTCACGTTTATCTGCTAATTTTGACGCGTACCAAGCGAATTCAATCATTTTTACATATCGCGGAGCACATAATAAGTAATGAGTTAATGATTGAATTCGAATTGCATCATATAACGGACTTTTTAAGAAGTTTCTAGTATTTGTCTGTGGCACATGCGCACAGGCAACAACCGTTAGGACCGTGACTCTAAAGTCCGTTGGATTTCCCTCACTGTTCTCACGTGTGTCGATCAGTAAGCAAGTCTGCGAGCATCCTTTGTGTTAAATTGATTTTATATAATAAAAATGGAAGGGTCAAGTGTGGATTTGTTTTTGAAAGAACATATCCAAGCACTGGCAAAGTGTGATATTACAAAAGAAGATTTAACTGACAGCATTGCATATTTTAAAGGTAATAAATAATTAAATAATTTAATAATCAAATAACAATAATTAAATAATTTGTGTGTATATTTTTATAAACACTCACATTTGTGAACATATGCAGAAATATACAAAGATATTTCCTTTTTTGTTTATAAAATGTTCATGGTGTGCGATCCATTTATGCTTCGAATGTTTTTATATAAATTATCACCCGCAACATTGTACAGTGATGTCGGAATTTTATAATGAATAAAGACACAGTACAATAAAAACATAAAATTTATTGATATTTTTCATTATGTATACGTTCTCTTACTATAACGAATAATAAATAAATAAATTTACAATTAATTCATAAACAATCATTTATTCTAAAAAAACAAAAAAAAATTGTCACTACGGGGAATTGAACTCTGCTCGCACGGACGCAAAATAATAGCCGCACGCCTAACCTGCACAACCAGCGCGCTTCATGCAAAATTATGGCTATCCATTGTACTTATCGTACAGCTGAAAAATACATCATTTTACAATAAATTTTCTCCGAAACTAAAGCCCATACACCCAAAAGCTCTGACACGGTTTATACTCTCGACTTCCCCTTTCGAATGCACTATAGCTCATTCAAAAATAGAGTTAGCAGTTCGTGGTATCTCCTTGTTAGTAATGCTAATGTTATAACTCCTACTTAAGGTGAGTTGCGTTTACACATTTACGCTTATCTATTTGAAATAACTTAATAACTTTCGAGTGAGTCAAGGATTTCCATTAGTACCAATATAAAAGGCCGAAAAATGAAATGATTGTGATTGTAGTCTGAATATAAAAGAATTAGAATATGAAAAGAATAGTATGTAAATAAATCAACAAATAAAGTGAACTTTTAGGTTATATTATGAATTTGAAAATTATAAAATATGTATATATCTATATAGTAGAATTTATATAATAAAATATAATATTTAACTAAAAATGAAATTAAAATTTTAGGTTATCAATTTTGGAAAAAATTAATCATGGAAAATATGGAAAGCGTACGCTCGTTTGTTGCTATATATTTGAAAATAGTAGAAAATATGACGATGCAATATATACTATATGTACGAAATATTTTGATTAAACGGCGAAAGCGTCAGAAAGAAATTATATTACAACATTTGTTGAATTTAACACCACTAAATCATTTGCTTGATCTCGGACCCGTATTACAATTTTCACGACATAAATCAATTTTACAATCAAGATTAAGATGTTCAATTTTTATATTGGTATTATTGTCATATTTACACTGCGTCCGTTTACACGTCTTCCCTACGTCGATGTAGAAACTCTAAGCCTCTTCACCAAATGACTTTGAGTAAAGCCAGCGGCACACGGTGCTTGTTTTCGTGCTGGATTGCTTGCTGAATGAAAATACTGCGTTCTGATTGGTGCATTTCCATTCATCTTCGGAAATGTACCAATCAGAACGCAGTATTTTCATCCAGCATGCAATCCAGCACGAAAATAAGCACCGTGTGCCGTTGGCTTTACTACATCAATGTAATAACTTCGTCGTAAAGGAGTGTTTACACGGCATCTAACGTCAGTAGTTATAACATCGATGTTATAACTTTGACGTAAATTAGGCTGTGTAAACGTAGTCAATGGCAGTAAGCAGAAAGAAATAAGCGTAAGCAGTAAGAAATAAACCAATCACAGTCGATTATGACAAAAATAATCAACTGTGGTTGGTCCATTTCTTACTGTTCATGCCACAGATGTCTATACTATACTAGATTGCTAACTTCGATCTTTGACCTATACAAGAGCTGTGTCCTGCCTATTTTCCGGTTCGGCCATGAAGACCGCCAAAACATGGCGGCGGTGTGTGTTTGTAGTGCGTACGTGAGTATCCGATGCGTGTGTAGTAGTGCTGTACTGTATGTGATACCTGATGTGTCTACATTGATGTGTCGTATCTACTGCTATTTATATTAGTAAAACTGCAAATATATAAACGAGATAATGCCAAGTACATGTTGCATTGTTAATTGCAATAATACGAATAAAAAAGGATATCACTTATTTAAGTAAGTAGAATACATTTATATATAATAAATGTTCGAGGTTTGTAATATGTGAGGGTTATCTTGCAATTAAACATTGTTAATATTTCAGATTTCCGATAAAACGTCCAGAGATTTTTAAAAAATGGATTTGTGCAATCGGAGGAAATTTTACAGCAAAAAAACACTATGTAATCTGTAGTGCTCACTTTTTACCTACAGATATCATGGAAAAAGCAAATATAAGTAGTGTTCTATTAAAAAATTTGGCTGTGCCATCAATAGCTCTGAGAGCTCCTGCTTGTGACAGTGTTTCTGCAGTGGAATGTAATAGTGATCCTCTGATACAACCTGTTACGAGTTCCATGATGGAATGTGATACTATTCCTGCGATAGAATATACTGCAGCTTCTACATCTACAGTAAAAAATATGTCATCAATTGTGTGGAGAAGTATATTAAAAGAGAAAATAGAAAATGCAACAGTTCTTGCTTCAATTCCATCACCGAAAACACAACCTGCAAATGTTACTGGTGGTACTGCAAAACTGCCCAAGCAAAAATCAATTAAAATCATGAGCAATTCACTTTTATTAATTAAGAAGAAGCAGGAAATGAGTCCACGGAAAAAGCACATGTTGAGAATAATCAAAACAATGAAGCAAAAGCTAAAGAGAAAAGAAAACAAAATTAATTCATTGGAAAATCTATTATAAACTCTACGGTATAATTAAAAATTACTCTGTAAAATATTACAGTAATATAATTGTTACATATAATTTTCCATTTAACAGTGTAAGCATAATATAACACATATTATGCACCAGGTTTAGTGTTTAGGTTTAGGTTTTAGTGTTAAGTGGAACATTATAACTAAAAGTTATTGTTACTTTGTATTTACTGGGTATAATGTACACTGAAAAAAGAATTTGACCGTAGTTGTCAAAATGTAGTAAAATAATACCGACTCGATTGTTTAGTGGATACCTAGCAAATACAATATTACATGTAACATATATGTTAGTTGTAATTTCCTACTTAACAATGTAAACGTTATATAACACATATGTTATATAACAGTTATATTGTTGAGTAGGAAATTACATATAACATGTACGTTACATGTAACATTGTGTTTGCTGGATATAAGCAAATATTTGGTCAATATTAATAATAACTTTGTTAATATTGACCAAGTATTGAACAAATTTGATACTATTTCACTACATTTTAATAACTATGATCAGATTATTTTTTAGGTGTATGCAGCTTTATGCAGATAATGATAAATATGATAATATGAAGAAATATATTAGTAATGCATATTATACAAATGTTAAATATACATATAATGTTTAGAACAAAGAATCTTCTTGAGAGAGAAGGGAGTGACATTATTACTAAGAATTTTAGTGGACATATTGGCGAAATATTCCAAAACGAATGGAAGAATGCAAATAGAAACAAGAAAGGTTACCGATACAGCGATGAAATAAAAAAATTTGCAGTAACTCTACATTTTTATTCGCCGAAAGCCTATAACTATTGCAGGTACATTTCTCAAATTGTCATTGTTATTTATAAGTTTATAAATTAATATTGACGGTATTTTCAGATCAATTTTACATTTGCCGCATGCAAGCAGCATCAGAAATTGGATATTGTCGGTTAATGCAGAACCTGGTTTCTTGATTGATGTCTTTCAAGAGATATCGAAATTTCCACAAGATTCACGTCATTGCAATTTAGTGTTTGATTCGATGGCAATTCGGAAGCAACTGCTGTGGGATGATACATCTAAAAAATTGCTTGGATATTGCGAATACGGTAATGGAATATCTATTGAACCTGCGCAGAGTGAAGCCACCGAAGTCCTAGTTTTCCTGTTGGTTTCTCTTAGAGGTACTTGGAAGTGGCCGGTGGGTTATTTTTTCGTGAATAAAATAAATGCTGTAGTGCAAGCGGAACTGATAAAAACAGCATTAATATTGTCACAGCAATCAGGTATCCGGGTATGGAGTGTTACGTGTGATGGAGCTCATGCCAATTATTCTACGATGAATATATTAGGTTGCAATTTGTATACGTCAAATTACTTAGAGTTGAAAAATACATTTAAACATCCCAGCTCTGATTATGATATACACTTCATACCCGATGCTTGCCACAATGTAAAACTTGCTCGAAACACATTAGCTGATCTCCAAATTATTAAATCTCCTACTGCGTACATCAACTGGAATCACATAAGGAATTTATATAAGCTTCAACTCGAACTGAATTAAAAATTTGCAAATAAACTTAGTACTGCACATATAAATTACAAAGAAAATATTATGAAGGTAAAGCTTGCAGCACAGACTTTAAGTTCTTCAACTGCTGCTGCTTTGGAATTTTCACAATTGTCAGAAGTTGAAGACTTTCAAGACTGTGCTGGTACGATAGAATTTATGAAGGCAATTGATGAAATCTTTGATTTTTTAAATTCGCGCAATCCTTTCGGAAAAGGGTTTAAAGAACTGATATTTTTAAATAACATCAACTTCTTGCAACAAAGAATGGAACAAATAATTGCATATTTATATACTCTAATGGAATGTGACAATAAAAAGTTATGTACTGGTAGAAGAAAAGCTTTTATCGTAGGGTTTGCAACTGCTGTTAAATCGATTTTGCAAATAGCTAAAAATATTTTGATACAACCTTGTTTTAAATATTTAATGACATACAGGTTCAGCCAGGATCACTTAGAACTATTTTTCGCACAAGTGTGACGGCGACACAGTTGGAATAACAATCCAAATGTGTTGCAATTCAAAGCTGCTATGAAAAGTTTACTAATAAAAAATTCGATTTCAGCATCAGATACAGCTAATTGTGTCAGTTTCGATACAAAAGAAAACAATGCACAACTCCAATTAAAATGGGCGAAAAAAAAGTATGTTCAAAATTGGCACAATGACATTGATAGATTGACAGATTGTGAGATGTATGATGATTTATTTGATGAAGATGAGGATGTAGAACTAGATCTTAATGTCACCATGAGTGAAAGTAGTTCCCTTAAAAACAATATTTTATATTATATGGCAGGTTTCATAATCAAAGCAATTATTCGTACATTAAAATGTAAAGGTTGCATTGCCAACACCATCAGTGAAGTCAGCGATAAGCAGCATAACATTTCGTCATACACTATGTTAATAGATATAAAAGATAAGGGAGGTTTAGTGTACGCATCGAATGATGTATTAGGTGCGCAACTAAGTTCCCGCTGTTTTTCAAGAGATGGCTCCAGTAGTAAGTGCTGGTCGATTGTGACATAACCAAAACGTCATGAACCAAGCTTAGACATATGGTAAACAAACCGCTTTGACACATTAGTGATTTTGTTTTTGCGTCATATACTTTTGGTTGTGTGAAAATGTCTGATTGTGCCAAATAATCGTCATTTGCGGGAAGTGTTGCTTTTCTTCTTTCATTCGAAGAAAATGGCGGCTGAAGCGCATCGAGAACTCCAAAAAATTTACGGAGATGCTGCTCTAAGTGAAACAACGTGCCGTGATTGGTTCCGTCGTTTCAAAGACGGTGATTTCGATGTTGATGACCGTTCGCGTGAAGGAAGGCCAAAAACCTTCGAAGACGCTGAATTGGAAGCATTGCTCGATGAGGATCCGTGCCAAACGCAAAAAGAGCTTGCTTCAGCATTAGAAGTTACCCGCCAAACCATTTCCAAGCGATTGCATGCGTTAGGAATGATTCAAAAACAAGGAACTTGGGTTCCTTATGATTTGAAGCCAAGAGACGTTGAGCGTCGTTTTTTCGCCTGTGAACAACTGCTCCAGCGGCAAAAAAGGAAGGGTTTTCTTCATCACATCGTTACGGGTGATGAAAAATGGATTCATTACAGCAACCCAAAGAGAACAAAATCATGGGGACTGCCCGGTCATGCTTCTACGTCGTCGGCTCAGCCGAATATTCACGCTGCGAAGGTTTTGCTGTGTATTTGGTGGGACCAGGGCGGTGTTATTTATTATGAGCTGTTGAAACCGAACGAAATCATCACTGGGGAACGGTATCGAACTCAATTGATGCGATTGAGCCGAGCACTGCGCGAAAAGCGGCCACAATACGAGCAGAGGCACGAAAAAGTGATTCTACAGCATGACAACGCTCAGCCTCACGTTGTCAAACCCGTTAAAACCTACTTAGAAACGCTCAAATGGGAAGTCCTACCCCACCCGCCATATTCCCCAGATATTGCGCCGTCCGATTATTACTTGTTCCGTTCGATGGCACATGGTCTGGCTAATCAGCAGTTCCGCTCATATGAAGACATCTCAAAATGGCTTGATTCGTGGATAGCCTCAAAAGACGAACACTTCTACCGTGACGGTATTCGAGCTCTGCCAGAAAGATGGGAAAAATTTGTCGCTAGCAATGGGCAATATTTTGAATGATTCATTTGTAACCATTTTTTCACAATAAAGTTGCATTTTCATCAAAAAAACAGCGAGAACTTAGTTGCGCACCTAATATATAAAATTGTCTGTGCAACGGAAAAAGAATGTTGTCAGTTATTAAGAAAAAATGTAAATAAGCTACCAAAAGATGCATACGCTAAAATAATTTGTCGAGTTACACGCATATATGCATTACACACGAATTTATTTCCTACTCATTCTGAGTGCTATGAAGGATTTGAAATAGGTAGAGATAGGCCACACCGTTTGCAATTAATAAATATTATTTGTCATAAATACTTAACACTTAGAATGTATTCACTTACAAAAACAACGAAAGATAGAAATCCTGCAAGTAACAGACACAAATTTACAAAATTAATATTATTTAATAACACATAAGTTGCATTTTATTCTTTATATGTATGTAAAAAATATTAATACAAATACTTTGACATATTTTGAACTGTATATATTCAATTTAATTTTAACCTTTACCAAACACTTAGATTAGCAACACCTTATTAATACACACATCTTTAAATGATATTCTTTCTTGTTCGTATTTTTGAAATTTACAATACTTATTCGGCATTATCTCGTTTGTAGATTTGCAGTTTTACTAACATAAATAGTAGTAGACACATCAGATGTCACATACGCGCTACCACGCACTACTGCATACGTATCGGGTATTCACATACACACTACACACACACCGCCGCCATGCTTGGCGGTCTTCATGACTGAACCGGAAAATGGGCGGGACACAGCTCTTTTGAGAAGTTAGCAATCTAGTATAATATAGACATCTGTGGTTCATGCTTACTTCTTACTGCTTGCGGCCATTGTAGACCATGCTTTAGGAGGCCTTAATTCTAAAGCGTCGTCTACAATGGCAGTAAGCAGTAAGAAGTAAGCGTGAACAGTAAGAAATGGACCAACCACAGTTGATTATTTTTGTCATAATCGACTATGATTGGTTTATTTCTTACCGCTTACGCTTACTTCTTACTGCTTACTGCCATTGTAGACCACGCTTAAAGTCTACGTCTAAAGACTACTTTTCTCAGCCATTACTCCTGCTGCCATTGTAGACCACGCTTAAAAGAATCAACCAATCAGAGTTCTTTATTGCTGAGGAGAGAAATGAAGAAAACTAATTGGTTTATTCTCTTATGTGTTATGTATTATATGTTATGCAAAAGCCTGTGCTCTTGCCATTATGTCCATGACCGTATGGTCGCGGACATAAAGGCCCATCTACAATGCAAGAATAAGGTTGTAAACAGTAAGAAATGGACCAACCATAATCGATTATTCTTATAATAATCGATTGTGGTTGGTCTATTTCTTAAAGCGTGGTCTACAATGGCAGTAAGCAGTAAGAAGTAAGCGTAAGCGGTAAGAAATAAACCAATCACAGTCGATTATGACAAAAATAATCAACTGTGATTGGTCCATTTCTTACTGTTCATGCTTTCTTCTTACTGCTTACGGCCATTGTAGACCACGCAAAAGGCTCGTCTACATTAGCTGTAAGAGTAAGGTTGTAAGGTTGCAAGACACGAAATGAAATATTTTCATTCGCTGACAACTTACGTTACAGCCTTACTCTTACAGCTATTGTAGACGAGCCTTTACTGCTTACGCTTAGAACCTTATTCTTGCAGCCATTGTAGATGGGCCTTAATAGTTTGTGCCCGTTTTTTTGCAACTTTCGGAACGCATCCCGACTCGAGAAGAATGAGAGTCAGTGTTCCGCCTGCGGAGCACGCCTGCGTAGTGACTCACAACGAAAGGCGAGAAATGAAATATATGCGGTGGGACATATTGTAATAATACAGATTCAGATGAAATGAATACTCCAGCATTAAATGGAAATGAGGGAACACAGAATAGACAAGAATCATCCGATGTAAGTCTTATACTCCGAGGGACATCCGAAAAAAGGTAGAGATAAATAAACATGTTTATGTTTTTAAAACAATTCGAACTTAATTAAGAGAATTAAGCTGCATTACGATAGTTACGATTCTGTTATACATTTATATGTGATTTGTTGTTTCAGCAACAGCCATCTTCTATAACAGAAGTAATGATATTAGATACAGAAGCAGCTGTTATAGCGAATTTTGAATTTTTGGGACATACAGACATGGACATGGAAGAGGAAGAAGGGGATGGAGAGGATTAAATTTATGATGCAAATACAGATACCAAACCAAATAAAGTAACGTTTACTATCATCTTGCGTTTTAATGATATTGTTCATGCTATTTGTTAACATAATTTCTTATTTTTCAGACATCTATCCCCCTTCTAGCGGGAAGATCTTGATACAGATGCTGAGGTAGAAGGAGTATTAAATGAATTAAATCTCCTCACAGAAATTGAAGAATCGCCACCTAGTTCTATCCATCTGGAAATGAATTTTTCTAAGGGGTTAGTAAATCCCTTTTTATTCGTGTACTTTAAGATAAAATATAAACCTATTACAATAATAGATATTTTGTAATATTGTGATATATAATCACATAATTTAATGATGTCTGTAGATTTATTACATAGAGGATTACAAGATCCAAGTCGCCCAAATAATAAAGAAGGCGGTGACTCCACGCTGGAATTAGGAGGATTAGAACAATTTTGTGTTAACAATGATGCAAAAATATCGTACGATGTAAGTTCCAAGAATTTTCCCCTGTATTTCAGTCGAGTCGCTTTTTCAGCTATGTAAGAGTTACAGTTGAATGAATACAGTTTGATCTCTTCGAACGTTTCGATGATCTCTGCGAGCATCACGGATGTGAGAAGATATCTTCATTGGGCGACTGCTATTATTGCGTGAGGGAATGTCCCGAGCCGAGGTCCGATCACACAAAGTACTGCATAGAAATGGGTCTAGATGAGTGGAATGTTATTGACACGTGGTTGTCAGATATCTTCAAATCTGGTGCTAAATTAATGCTGTGCGTTTCTCATCTTAACAGCTATGATCGAAGCGATCAAACAATTCGACATCGAAAGAAGGGAAGGTGTGAACATGAGAATAGGTGTGCATACGGGCACCGTGCTCTGCGGGATCGTGGGTACGAAAAGATTCAAGTTCGATGTCTGGTCGAACGATGTGACATTGGCAAATAAACTCGAGAACACGGGAAAACCCGGTCGTATACACTTGAGTGAGAATACCCTGAGATTTGTGGACGACCAGTACATCACGGAAAAGGGAAAACTAGTCAATGGTGAGTAAATTAATTCGGAAGAAAAGCAAGCAGACCAAAATTGGAATTTTACGTGTCGTGCGTTGTTGGAAATATCGCATAACAGCCTGGCAATGAGCAAAATATTGGAACTTGTTTATTCGTTTCAGGTGTTAAAACTTATTTCATACGGGCCTGCAAGTCGGACTTCATGAATCAATTTATCACGAACGTTACGTCACCGAAAAATATCTCACCGTTGATGCAGTCACGTAGCCGTCTGGCGTCGTGCAATACTCAGGTTAAGCCACGCCATCATTACCTCCACATGATCATCAACACAAGCAACTACCGGATGAAAGCCAATTCCTTGCCGAGTATCTTAGATTCCGAGAATGACGGTATCTGAATAAGAATCTGGCACGGTTTCTCCGCGTGAACTCTTTAATTATTGTCCTTTTTTTTTTTAAAGAACTTAAATGATCGAACACTGACACGAGTTACACATTGCCGGATGACTCTGAGACTGGCTGGATGGAAAGAATCAGGAAGGTGACGAAAGCCGCGTTAGTCCGGGAAAGCGGCGAGAAGCCGCGCAGGATTCGGGAGGGCGATAAGAGCCACGTAGGAGCCGGGAAGGCGGCGAGAACAGCGCAGGAATCAGGAAAGCGGCGAGATCCACGTTGGTCCGGGAAACTGGCGAGGAGCCGCGCGGGATTCGGGAGGGCGATGAGAGCCACGTAGGAACCGAGAAGGCGGCGAGAACAGCGCAGGAATCAGGAAGGCGGCGAGATCCACGTTGGTCCGGGAAACCAGCGAGGAGCCGCGCGGGACTCAGGTGGTCGATGTGGTCCACGTAGAAAACGGGGAGGCGACGAAAAAGAAATACCCTAGAAAAAGGAAGAAATAAACGTCTGGTCTCGACGAGCTCCTAGGAAAGAATCGCTCTACTCCTTTTTCTGTTTTAAAAAGAACATCGATTAACAACCTTTCAGCTTTCTCAGCTGCTAGGCATCATGATGTTTTTCTTTTAAAAACATAAGAAGGAAATGCCTTCAAAGCGCGAGCATGGAACTCAGAGATGAGCCACGCAAAGTAGCAAGTGAACTCAACGATGAGCCGCGAGAGCTCACCATGTATCTCCGCCCCCATGGGCTTTCGAATTAGTTATTTGATTCTACTTTTGTATTAAAAACTCCGCCGCCGTGGGCCAACCAATTAATTCTCCGCCGCCGTGGGCCAACGATTAACTCTCCGCCGCCGTGGGCCAACGATTAACTCTCCGCCTCCGTGGGCCAGCGATTAACTCTCCGCCGCCGTGGGCCAACGATTAACTCTCCGCCTCCGTGGGTCAGCGATTAACTCTCCGCCGCCGTGGGCCAACGAATAACTCTCCGCCGCCGTGGGCTAACGATTAACTTAAGATTTTTCAAAACAAAATTTTTACTTGCTAGAGAGATCCTGAAGTGTCGTCTAGGAGTTGTTCAAGATTCTTCAACAGACGGCGACACTATAAACGAAAAAGAGGATTCAAACAAGAGCTCGACGTCCACCGCTAGTTACGGCAAGAAGAAAATACGAAACAAACTATCGAAGTACTTGCAGAGGCAACGGACGACCAAGGAAATAACACCACTGGAGATAGAGGAGGGGAGAAATATCGCCATGGGACAAGCGAAACCTGAAGTCCAGACGTATGAGGAGTACAATGGGTTTAAACGAGTATGTGGACCTCTTCATTTCCCTACTTGGCATATTTCGTAGTCTCTCGACAGTTACGATTGACTTCTTCGTTGTCCTATTCAATTTTGTTTGGTGTTCCAAATTCTCAAAGACTCGACGTAATGATATATATATATATATATATATATATACAGATTGCATGAAAAGTTCGCGGAGCGGCATCTATAAGTAAACGGTAGAATTATAAATTGTAGTCGGTTATATAGAATCACTCTTCACATGAACCTAAGTTAGGTTTCATTTCCATCTGTCAATTCTTTCTGTGTTTACAAGCCAATTGAAGTTGACGTGTCAGTATATTTGTTTGCAATGGAAAATTTGAAACAGCGTGCAATGATTGAGTTCTTTGTTAAAAAAGATTTAAAGGCAATGGAAATTCATTCCGAGATGGTAAATGTGTTAGGGGAATCTGCTCCTTCAAAAACAATGGTTTGTAAATGGGCACTTGAGTTTCAACGTGGTTGTACAAGCATTGAAGATGATCCACGCAGTGGACGTCCAAAAAGCGCATCAACACCAGAAATCATTGAGCAAATACATGTTATTGTTTCTGAAGATCCAAGTGTGACTACGCGTGAAATTGCTCATACCATAGGCATTTCAGATGAACGGGTACGGCATATTTTGCATAAAGAATTACAAAAGGTGTTTGGAAAAGTGGTGCCGCATATGTTAACAATTCAACAAAAACTCGTTCGAAAGCAAATTTTTCAGCGTCATTTGGATCGTCTTAAGAAGAATAAAACCGATTTTGTGCGTTGTTTTATAACTATGGATGAAACTTGGATCTATCACCATAATCCTAAATTGAAACAGGAACGTTTACAATGGACTGAAGCTGGATGTTCAACTCCAAAGCAAACAAAGCATGAAAGATCGGCAAAAAAGGTTTTGGCATCAGTTTTTTGGGATACTAAAGGGATTTTGTTAATTGACTATCTGGAAAAAGGTAAAACAATTCAAAGGTAAAATAACTCTGAATATTATTGCAACCTTTTGGATCAATTGGACGCAAACATTCGTGAGAAAAGACCTGGTTTGCAGCACAAACAAATCATTTTTTACCAAGACAACGCACCTGCTCACAAAAATGTTTTGTTAATGTCTAAATTCAATTAATTGAAGTACAAATTGCTTGATCATCCACCGTATTCGCCAGATTTGGCACTCAGTGACTTCTGTCTGTTCCGAAGCCTGAAACAATTCCTCCGTGGAAAGCATTTTTTGTCGAATGAAGAAGCTATAACAGCCATAGAGGAATATTTCGCAGACCTTCCAGAAACACACTTCCGCGATGGAAAAATTATTGGATAGCCATTGGGCCAAATGTATTGAAGTTAACGGAGACTATATTGAAGAATAAAATCATTTTTAGAATTAGGTATTCTTTATTTCAGTTTCGCTCCGCAAACTTTTCACGCAACCTGTATATATATAAGAACATATATTTGAATGTTATATTTTTTCAATATATTTTATGTAATATGATTTTTCTTTTATCCATTATATAAAAATAATATATTTCAGTAAGAATCATATAACTTCTAGATGCTGTTACATATATTGTTAATATAATTTAATAAAGTATAATAATGAACAATATATTTGCTTATTTTTTAACTACATAAGTACAATCCATAAATTTCAATCAAAACTATATCATTTTTCTTTTTTTCTTTCAAGAATTTATCGTTAACAACTGTTTGTAAGTATCAGTGACATTATTTCATCACGTATAATTAATATAATAAAACTTCCTTAATCCTTTGATGCATGGTGGTAACCCATGTTATTACCTAAACTTCTTTACTATTTGGCAGTTCATTATCCAACTAACACATTTAGACTGGTTTTTTGTATTTTACCGCTATCTTAGAGATAGACTAATATAAAAAAATAGTTTAGGACTTATTATTTATTGCAAAAGTTTTATAAATAAACAGAGCAAAAAATCTTTTTTCTGACTTCGGATTCGTGATCAGCGACACAAAAAACAACTGTATACCAAATTTCATAAATAATGGATCAACGAAAAATATATGCTTCATATACATAATACATGCTCAAGCCCTAGACAGAATTTGTGTGCCCCGTTAATGTATGACTAAAGACATTTAGTTCGTACGAGTCGTATGGATCAATGTTAGCCAATGATAATGTCCAACAATGGATCATGCCATCTAAACCACCGCTGTAACATCGATTGCCTGTACTATACATGGCTAGACACAACACAGGTTCAGTGTATGATCTGAATGTGTAAAGTGGTTTTACATCTAACGAAGCTGATCTGAAAAAATATTAAAACATAAAATTATGATATACAGTATCTTTGAAATGAAATGTTGCGGTTTATATTTTATATATTTTCACAGCATTAATCGATATTAAATTTACTTTTTTGCCGGTATAGTCTTATGAAGATTCCACAACTTCAGTATGCGATCATCGCTTGCGGTGATAAGAAGCGGATTTGCGGAGTGGAAGACGAGTGCTCTAACAGCTTCAAAATGCGAACGTAACGTATATTTAGCGTTCCATGTTTTTCTGAAGGTCTCCTTCGTGGTGGAAACCATCTGTGTCGCAAGAAATAATATGTTGAGAGTGTCAACAAACTGTAACTCTTATATAGCTGAAAAAGCGACTCGACTGAAATTTCCCGAATAGGGGAAAATTCTTGGAACTTACATCGTACGATATTTCTGCATCATTGTTAACACATAATTGTTCTAATTCTCCTAATTCCAGCGTGGAGTCACCGCCTTCTTTATTATTTAGGCGACTTGGATCTTGTAATCCTCTATGTAATAAATCTACAGGCATCATTAGATTATGTGATTATATGTGATAATATTACAAAATATCTATTATTGTAATAGGTTTATATTTTATCTTAAAGTACACGAATAAAAAGGGATTTACTAACCCCTTTGAAGAATTCATTTTCAGATGGATAGAACCAGGTGGCGATTCTTCAATTTCTGTGAGGAGATTTAATTCATTTAATACTTCTTCTGCCTCTGCATCTGTATCAACACCTTCCGCTAGAAGGGAGATAGATGCCTGAAAAATAAGAAATTATGTTAACAAATAGCGTGAACAATATCATTAAAACGCAAGATGATAGTAATAGTTACTTTATTTGGTTTGGTATCCGTATTTGCATCATAAATTTCATCCTCTACATCTCCTTCTTCCTCTTCCATGTCCATGTCTGTATGTCCCAAAAATTCAAAATTCGCTATAACAGCTGCTTCTGTATCTAATATCATTACTTCTGTTATAGAAGATGGCTGTTGCTGAAACAACAAATCACATATAAATGTATAACAGAATCGTAACTATCGTAATGCAGCTTAATTCTCTTAATTAAGTTCGAATTGTTTTAAAAACATAAACATGTTTATTTATCTCTACCTTTTTTCGGATGTCCCCCGGAGTATAAGACTTACATCGGATGATTCTTGTCTATTCTGTGTTCCCTCATTTCCATTTAATGCTGGAGTATTCATTTCATCTGAATCTGTATTATTATAATATGTCCCACCGCGTATATTTCATTTCTCGCCTTTCGTTGTGAGTCACTGCGCAGACGTGCTCCGCAGGCGGAACAGTGATTCTCATTCTTCTCGAGTCGGGATACGTTCCGAAAGTTGCAAAAAAACGGGCACAAACTATTATGTCCGCGAGTGTACAATAAAGAATCTTCGCGGCATGTGTGATCCTACGTAAGCAGCTCATGGTGCATAGGAACGGTTATATTGAATCGATGCATAAGTTCTCGTCGATTTTTTGCAATTTTTCTTCATTGAAATGAAACAATCGATACAACATAAACCAAGCAAAGTATTTTCTATCATCTTCTATGATCTTTTCCCATTTTTTCAGCAATATGTGAATACCACGTTGAAAGAACAAATTATAGATATTCTATCTATATTCTAACTGTACTTCTTTTTCAATGTTACCACTATCTTGCAACAACATCGCAGAAATATTTTGCAACTTCCATGCAATATTATAATGTTGCAGTGTGTAATGTCTATACAACATTTCTATACTGTATGGATTAAGTCAAATTTAAACTTGAACTGTATATGTATGCACGATCATAGATAGAAAGATTATTCATAATATTTGTGTGAATTTTAAAACGTATTCCTCTTGACCAACAAGATTTTCTGATCGGGAAAATAATTTTTCCTATTGTTCAAATTGTCCCAATTATCTCATTCTTTACGCAAAAAATAACGGATAACTTCTCTGTGTCGAGTGTACTTATTTAATTAAAGAATTTCAAGAACACTTTTTCGATGAAAACGTAATAGTGTACGCTATACACCGGTACAAATTGATTAGAACATTGCATTATTTACAATATTTACACATTCATATTTAAATATTTATTACGTTATTTATAATAGTATTTTTTATATCGTAATATAATTTTCACATATACACTTCATGTAGCTTGTAATTGAAGAACAAAAATATTAATATGATGGAAATAGCGCGTAATTGTTAGATGCCGAGTGTCGGATGCATGTCTGAAAATATCACGCCCAGACGTCGGTTCAGTTGAGGTCAGACTACCTCCAGTGGAATTAACCAAAGTAAGAGAAACAAGATAAGACTAGACAAATAGAATATAAAATCCAAGAAAAATACGTAGTGACAGGACGACATAGATAGAAAATTCTGGCTCCATATAGATCGAAACAAAATCCCGTTTTCTTACTGTATGTTCCATATATTATGTATATAAATATTATATATTCCAATAAAACTTGAATATTACAATCGTAGTTCTTGAAGGACTACGAGTGGTCGAAGGAACTATTTCGATTTGTGATCGCAATGAATTTCGGTTTGATTTTTATTGTTGAAGTGTAAACATGTTACTTGCAACACAATATTTTTATTATAAATCACTTTTTTCAATAACGACTTAATGACAGCGTTATTTTTTTTATTATTAGTGATAATAACTGCTTAGATAGTAAGACATCATTTTAATTACTAAACATGTTCATACAAAAGATTTCAAGTGACTCATAAAATGGCGGTCATATATAAACGTTTTAATCATCAAAAATTAGACCAATAAGAGTTATGCGAGGATATCAATAATGGTTAATTTTTTTCTTTTGATAGGAAGATGATTTCTTTAATCAATTTTTAGTGGCTGAATATCTGAGAGTTTTATTACAAATTTAGTTTTGTTACAAATATTGCTCTTTGATAAGTCTTTTAACCCTTTCGATCCTATTAAGTTACATATGCCCCGCAATGAATCCAAAAATTTATTTTATTAGCATTATTTGACTTATTTTTTTACATATATCAACATATATATGTGGAATCCCGTGAGAAAAATTGAGACCAAAAGGATTAAATGATAGTATATTGCTGTCATAACGTTACATCTTTAAGACGTAAATTTCTCTCCTGAATTAAATGCTTTATTTTATGTTGACATCAAAATCTGGCAAAAAATGTAAATAATTGTTACATAACCTTTTAATTACACATGACATTTCTTTCGTTCATTATATAACTATGTGATCATTTGAGTAGGATGTTACAACTAACGTATATGTAAATAAATGTTATATCGCACGTTACATTTTGTTATGTAATTAGCAAAAATGGAAGTGACCCTTCATTCTTAACAGCTATGAATTATCTTTTTATTCCACGTATTTTTTGTTTCGCTAGACGTAGCCAATATAACGCTACAGATAATGGTCGCATATCGACTATTGTTGAGTTATTTTCAAAATGTTAGCTTTTTTAAAGTTTGATAAATAAAATAACAAGTTACCGCGACTTCTTATTTTTTGCATAATAACGACGGTAATGAGTTATCTTTCAAAATGAGTAACACAGTAACGAGTCATTTTTTTCTCTTAAACATATACCACTAACGAATCACTATTAACGTATAACTTCCCCAAAATGTGTAACTTTTACACGCCGATAAATCGGACATATAACTGTTTGCGTCGTGCAAATAAGACACGAGAGTACCGCCGTTTGTTCTTCGAATCCCTCGAAAAAGCGGCAGTCAGAGCCGAGAAACCGCCCAACAACAGCGATTCCTCGAGCTCGAAAATAGATCACGTTCTCTCGACTCTGCGGACGCGGATTCACGGAGCGTTTCGTTGCGCGGAGTGTTTCGTCGCGCGGAGCGACTTAGAAGCTGGCCAGAAAATACTAGCCGTGTTGCTAATTAGCATTCATATCATACCGAGCGAAGTCTCGATGAAGTCTCAAACGAATTGCGCTGTGCTGGGACTCAAAAATAGAGTAGAATTCAGCCAAGGCTGGGAAACTTACTTTTTCAAAGTAACTTCCTAGCAAACGCAAGTAACAAAATGTAACGTGCGATATAACATTTATTTACATATACGTTAGTTGTAACATCCCACTCAAATGATCACATAGTTATATAACGAACGAAAGAAATGTCATGTGTAATTAAAAGGTTATGTAACAATTATTTACATCGATAGTTAAAGTAATATAGAATTGGAATACAACTTATTCTCTTATTTTTCTTCAGCAACTGTAGATATACCAAGTTTTCCAAAAGTAACGGACCCCCCTTCCTATCTCAGAATCTATGCATTATAGGGAAAAATAACCACAACAAAAGTTTTAGGGTTCATAAAGTTCTGTTTTTTGTGACCTTAAATTTGACTTCGGCTTTGAAGGTCATTTGAAGGTTAACTTGCGTTTTTTAAAATGGGAATCCCTATTTTTTATTACACTGTTTTTTCTACCAATTAATTTGAACAACTTTTGTCCAAAACATTTTTTTGTTTGCCTAATATTTTTTTAGATATTTAATGAAAACTTGATAACTTTTTCAATATTTAACTCACGATATCTCGCTAACTATTCGTCGGAAAAAAAAGTAGTACTAGATTTTCTTGTTTTATTTAGTCTCAAGAATATATTGTTACAATAGTGCCCTGATTTTTGTTAATTTGATGATTTTGGAAAGTTGAATGATTTCCAAAAGTTGGTAAGTTAACAAAAGTCAGGGCGCTATTATAACAATATATTCTTGAGATTAAATAGAGCAGAAAAGTCTAGTATCACTTTTTCTTTCGACAAATAGTTAGCGAGATATCATAAGTTAAATATTGAAAAAGTTATCAAGTTTCCCTCAAATATCTAAAAAAATATTAGGCAAATAAAAAAATATTTTAGACAAAAGTGGTTCAAATTAATTGGTAGAAAAAAATAGTGTAATAAAAAATAGGAGTTCCCATTTAAAAAACGCAAGTTAACCTTCAAGTGACCTTCAAGATCGAGGTTAAGGTCAAATTTGAGGTCATAAAAAAACAGAACTTTATGAACCCTAAAACTTTTGTTGAAGTCATTTTTCCCTATAATGCATATATTCTGAAATAGGGAGGGGAGGGGTCCGTTACTTTTGGAAAACTTGGTATAATTATGTGGAGGAGTTTACTAATTGCTTTTAGCTAGCATAATCATATAAAAGTATCTTGCCATTCATGGTCGATTAACTATTACAATTTATTTGCGCCCATCGCCATGCTGATATTTCGGTGGAAATGATTGTTACACTGACAAAAGTAATAATCATTAATCAAAATGTATGCTACTTCGTTACAAGAGTGGGCACCACCTGAGATACAAGTTTTGTCATATAGTTTGATCATCGTTTATGTATCGTATTTTACGTACGAGAAACAGACACTATCTAAGGGACGAACCGCGACATCTGTATATAAAAATGCTACATGACATAAATGCGAACACTACACTTGTTATATAACGTGTTATATTTAAGTCATATCTCTATCATACCGCTATGAGCAGTATATAACGAAATAATGTAACAATTTTAAAATATAGTTATATTGCTATTGCAAAAAAAAAATTCAATATCAATAACTTATAACGGCAATTATATCACATAAATTATTTCTGTTACATAATAGTTATATTTTTTGCTAGGATTATTCCCGTTATTCGTTATTGAGTTTAAGAACCTTTCAATTCTGACGCTATTACCGTTGCAATTTGTCTTTTTAGTGACGACATTATTTATCTTGTTATTTTCCTTCGTTAATGATGATAATTATAGCGCAATTGCATTTCCGGTTTAACGCTGGATGGTTTAACGCTAATAGATATAATCGTTATATTACATGCCCACGTCGGAACGCGCCAACGAATTACAAAATGGCGTCAAAACTCGGTGACAAAAAGTAACGAAGATCGATCGTGACGATCTCTGTTACTCCTTAATGCAATTACGTTAACGAGTTATGTTGTTCTAAAACAAGCAAAAGTAACGAGTTATTTTTCTCAGTGAATAAGGTTGAGAAGATTATATTTTTAAAGTTGCCCTCGTTTGCATCACTCATATCAAAGAAGGTAACTTGTTACCGTTGGCATCCCTTGGGTAGGTATTTTATTGTCATTATTGATAATAAGTAGTTGTATCTTCATCATTCGTTTTGATAAATTTTGAGAATCTTTCTTTA